TATGGAATACTTTATAAATTATATTAATCAAGAGAGTTTATAATAACTGTCTGAAGAGTCATAATTCTAGAAGCAAAGAGTATGGGCCAGAACTAGAATATTTCAAGGCTGCAACTTCGAAAAATATTTTGGAGACAATAGGAGACATGAAACGGCAGACAGGGAACTCCAGGAATGTCACAGCAGAAAGTTGTGCAGTGTAAATCATGGACATATTGAAAAGAATAAAGCAGGGGGGTAGGTGTGTGCATGTCTTTGTTTAGTGGAGCAAAATTTTAGGATTTGTGTCAAAAAAACTTTGAAAAATGATTGAAGGTTGTTTAGGTTTTTGAGAAGAGAGTGTAGAAAATACTTAGGAGCAGGAGATTTTTGGAGCTGTTTACCTGATCAAAGTTATCTGTGTTTGCAAGGAACAGAGTATGGACATTAATCTTGAACTGAGAAAGATATAACAGGGCCAAGACTTCAAAGTAAGAAATACACAACACATTTTAACAGTTTTTAACAGTTTTAACAGTTCAGCTAACTAACAACTAGAACAAACTGCAGAGGAGTTGATGAATTCTTCACCTCTTTATGTCTCTGTAATCAAGATTGAGTACCTTTCTCGGTGTGTATGAATAAAATTGATTTATTGGTCTTAGCACAGCTAATAAGATTGGTGGAGATTACTAACATAGGCTAAATTTAAGGGGATAATCATCTCCCCTCCCAGTCAAGAATCCAAGTTAACTTGAAGAAAAAGCAATTTACAACTATTTATCCCTGTAGGTGTATTTAAGAGAATGATGATGAGGTCTGGGTGAACAGTACCATAATTTGACAAACAAGTACCCTGTTGATCCCCATCTCTATCAGCTTCATAGCTATTTCATAATTTTGTGATCAGGAGTCACAAGATTCCTTTCCTGTAGGTGATCTCTTTATACATTTCAAGGGCAGTTGAAAATTTAATTATATTTATTAGTTATTTGTTATTTGTTTATTTGTTAACTTTGTTGTGAAGCGGAATGCATGTAAGGCTAATTGCTTCTTGAGCTCTTACTGCTGACTTCCTGACCTGATTTGTCAAACTTGCTAAATAGATGATTAAACATATGCCAGAGGAATCTGAAAACAAAATCCAGCCCACAGGAAATCAGATTTCATTATGATTCTATGATTCAGTGCCTTAAATGACATTGAAAGGGACAAAAATATCCCTATATGAGATTACAGGGACAAAAATATTCCTATAGTCCTTTACTGATCTACAAATATATAATTTTTCTGCAGGCTGCTTGAACATCAGAAGAAGCTTAACAACAAAGATGGACATTTCTTCCAGTAAGACCAAGATTTAGGCCTGCAGTTCCCTCCATAGAAAACAGAGAGAGAGATGCTCCCTCAGGAATTCAGTATTAGATTCTGTGAATTGCCTTGAAGGAGTGTTTCTCTCTACTGAGAGTAAGGCACTAAGCTAATTTTAATGTAATGAGTCATATCAGACTACTTTTATTTCTCCATGTCATTCTGTTGTCAATATTATTCAAGAGATCAGACTAGATGGAAGAGTATTTGACCTTTAAATCTATAAATTCTTAGAATTATGCTACTACAGTAAAGAGTTGCTAGTTGTGTAATCCTGTACATGTGAGTGAATCAGTATTGGTAGTTTACATAACAAAACAGGAATGAGCAAATAAATAAACCGTTATTGCCTCAAGCCAAGAAGAAGTTGATTTGTGAAACATGCACTTTAAAAAATGTACTGTACCAAGCATTTGAGGATATTTTGTTTGTTTGCTGCATAGCAGCATCATGATACTATGCAAGATACTCAAACACAATTGCCACCTTGCAGAATACAACAGACTCCCATGTTCTTTAAATGAGCCAAGCTAACTTTAACTAAACAAGTTTATCAAGCTGTAGAGGAATGGTGTGTAACTGCGAATCACTGCTAAAGTCATCTGTATAATTCAGGGAAAATTCTGACAAAGAAATCAACTTAGATGTGAGATTGAGATAAGGGAACTCAAATAACAGTGTGACATATACCATGGAAAATCTTTGGTTGGAGAATCCAGGGAGGATGTCTACTTGCTATCCTTCTGCTGGGATCCAGAGGAAGAAGAGAGAAGTACTTAACCCTACAGTATTGAAAGGCGCTATAACGTTGTATTCAGTACAGATTGTGAGCTCTGTCTTTTAGCCCTAGGACTTAAAAGGTCTCAGCTACAAGTGACTTGAGTGGTTGAGAGGAGAGCAATTGGTTTTGATGCTTCAGTTATGTTCTTTTAAGCCACTGGTGATGACAAAACAGGAAGGAAGAGGTGTTCTTAAGTGCTATGCGTATCTTTGGATCTTTTAGCAAAAAGAGAGGGAACAAGCAAGCAAGCATTTTGCATTTGTCTAGCTGACTAGCCCAGTCACAGTCTTCATAAGAAGTTAAGGTTCAATTTCTTTCACAATTGTCTTTTAGTGAAAGAAATGAAAATTAACAATCCACGTTATCACACAAGTGATAACTTCAGGATTGAAATGTGAGCGCTTGCAGCCTGCATGACGGAGAGGGTGGCTGAAGGCTCTAGGTGCAAGCTGGGCATGGCAAAGTATTCTACAGTGCTTCACCAATTGCAGTTCTCTAAAGCCATCTCTGGTTGCAACCTTCTCTTTTGTACAGTGGAAACAGAGGAAGGAAAACATTCTTTGGAGGGAATTCTGGTGTGGTGAACAGCTTCACCAGGATGCTTAAGCAGACTGGAATAGTGGTCTGGTCTGGAGAGAAAAAGGAGGGGAAATATTCCATCTCTCCTGATGTCCCCTCTCTTTTTTCCCTTCTCTCATATGATTCTTTGGCTTGTAGTTGACTTTACGGTTCTTCCTATGAAAACTTTTTCTCTTGCTTTTTCTCTTGCTTCCTTGAAAACCTTTGCTGCTTTTTCCTATGACCTTTGTCCAGCCTTTCTGGGTTTCAAACACATAAGCAGTAACCTAACGTTGAGTGTCTGCATCACTGTTTGTCTGGAATTATAACAGTCATAGGAAGATTGTGAACTAGCTTGCATTTACTAGCCATGGTACAACAGGAGTATGGTAATGTCCAATTGTAGCTCAGAGCATTCACCTCTTCATTAACTGTGTAATAATAATTATTAACAAGTACTGACCCATCCAGTACATCACAAAATAACAATTTTCTGTTAGATAAAGATCAAGTCGGAAGAATAAGCTTTCATTATGGAAAAAAAAATCTATTGTTTGTACAGATATTTTTTCCGTATTAGCAAAATGCCTCCACCAAGAACAAGTTGAAATGAAACATTGCCAGTGAACATAAGCAATGAAAATACATCGATCTCTTGGAAGTAAACTTGCTAAAATGCCTTAATATACTAAATAAAACTTTCATTTAAGAAACAAAGTCACATTAACATTTTGATGAAAAGTCAATTGTATATGTCCTTCTCAGTTGCAATGTGTAAAATCTGAGATCCTAGCAGTAGAAAAATGGTACTTCTTATTTTATTCTTCCCTAATTAGTGAGGCTAGAAACAGGTATGCTTTATCTTGAACATTTACTTCATGAGTCATCTTACGGTTTATGTGATATACCTTAGTATGCAAAATAAAGAACAGTCCATACCTATGTGAATCAAAATTATTTTTAGATCTCATCAGAGTGGAAAAAAAAAGAAAATTTTTAGTTCAATATTTACTTAGCGACAAAGCAAGATTCTGTCTTGATTCACTGAAATAAAGGTTTTTTACAAAGTATGTGTAGGATCAGTTTCACAGGGCCTCATATAACTTAGTGCTATGCTTACAAGTGCACAAATGCTATGAGGAATGTGAAGTTTTCCTTATATATGAGAGATAGCTGAGGTAGCTGCAAATATTCGAAGAGTCTGTAGCCCTATATTGTTATGCTCTACTCAAGGTCATTAGACCTGAACAGAAGTAATTATCCCAGGCAGAGAATTGGATTAATGGTTACATTTCTTCTGGTACCTTCATGAATAGAACTGCAAACTCTGCAAAAATACACTTTGTGAAACAAAGAGAATGTATCATTCTGAGTAACACCTGCAGATCATGCACATTTTGAGATTATCATTTCTTCTGGTTTAGCTGTCTCTCTCTCTGACTCTGACTAGGGCTTTCCAGATGCCTTCCCTCTCCTCACTGGCTCAGGGTTCTAGTTGTTGTGCTTAGCCAGAATTAGTCTCTCTACTCTTTTTCAGTTTCAAGATGGAGTATGATCAAAGAAAGAAGGTTTTTTTTGCAGAGTTCTTGTTGATCTGTTTTCCAGAGATATAGGACCTGAGTTTAAAGCTGTCACAAGTAAAATGGGCAAAATGAAAATGTACTGATGTAAGAGACCTTTGCAAAAGGAAGACCATAATGCCAACATATGATGAAAAACATGTAGGGTTTGGGGTTCTTTTAGTATTCAATTTGCTTTTAAGTTAATATTTAAAAAAAATATTTTGTCAAATGCAATAATAAAGTAAGGGGACAGTACATATCAAAATGGTCTGCAAAATTTCAAGATTTGCAATATTCCATGTCTGTATTTTATCTTTTATTTTCAGTCTAACAACTGCTAAAATTATAGCTAAACATTTAAAATACATTAAAAAAGAGATTTAGCCTATTCTACGTGAATTAGACTGCATTTCCCTTAAAGTCCTCTGAACTGGCCTTGCAGCTCTTGTTTTATTTGCTGCATACTACTCAGATATTGAATAGATTACTGTACATAACTTCTTCTGATATTAAGTTTAGCTTAAGCTTTTTCTAACCTTGAAGAAGCTAGGTATTACTTGGAAGCATGTATATATTCCTGTCATATTCTTCAAGGAACTGATTAACTTTGGAGGCCATACCAGGTCTGAGTGCAAACCTCATCAGAATGTTCTGCAGTATTGACAATAATGTGTGCCTTGCACAGTGTTGCTACCATACTAATTTTATTCTCCTTAAAGAAATTGTGGACATTTCATTTTAAACTTTAGGAGCGTCTTCTACTTTCTTTACTGCCTGCTCACATTGCCATGGAAATGAAAGCAGAGATCATTCAGAGGTTACAAGGTCCGAAGGCGGGTCAGCTGGAAAACACCAACAACTTCCACAATTTGTATGTCAAAAGGCACACCAACGTAAGGTATTGTACTGTAACAAAATGTATCAACAACATTCAGAAAAAAAAATGAAAAGAAAGTGTTAAGTGAGCAATTAAGAAAGCAATCCTTTTAATATGATTTTCAACAATTTAATGTTTATTATCTGTTAATCTGATCAAATGCTGACAATTCCATGTTCCAGAAAGTCACAAAGGTGATGATAAAATGAAGTTGTTTAGAAAAAGCCACACATTAACAGGCTCTTTTCATGTCTTCTTGGTCTGTTCAACCTGGAGGAGACTGAGGGGAGACCTCACAGCAGTCTACAATTTCCTCCTGAGGGGAAGAGAAGGGGCAGACACTGATTGACCAGTGACAGGACCCAAGGGAATGGCCTGAAGTTGTATCAGGGGAGGTTTAGGTTGGATATTAGAAAAAGGTTCTTCACCCTGAGGGTGGTTGGGCCCTGGAACAGGCTCCCCAGGGAAGTGGTCACAGCACCAAGCCTGACAGAGTTCAAGAAGCGTTTGGATGATACTCTCAGGCACCTGGTGAGACTCTTGGGGGTAGTCCTGTGCAGGGCTGGGCGTTGGACTCGATGATCCTTGTGGGTCCCTTCCAACTTGGCAGATTCTGTGATTCTGTGATTTTTCAAGTTAAAATATTAAATCTTGCTTTCATGTATACCAGTCAAAATTGTAATTCACGTCAGTTGTATTATTTTGATTTTGTGTTTTTCTTAACTGGAACGATTTCTCAGGCTTTATATCATGTAAATAGAGACAGCTGTATGACGTATGTATTTTACAAAGTACCTGAGAAAAAATATTCTGAAGGATCCAGTTATTTATTAATTCTAAACTTTAGTAGTTAGAGAAATAACTCACCATTTATTTCAGACAGTCTTCTTTACAATTTCTTTTGTGTGGCTTTTTGATTGGACAAGTTAGTTTGAATTACATTCTTAGATATTTTAATACACTAACAAATATAGGTACAGAATGTCTATAAATACCTGTAAATATAGGTATACTATAAAGGTAATACTTGAGAAGATAATACCTATAAAGATCACTATAGGTATATATTACCTATAATGCCTATATTACCATAGCACCTATTTAGGTAAATGTAGGTTTGCCTATAAATATAGTTGTATTTATTGCTCTTCATTTAGCAGTGGCTGTTTTGGGTACAGGCATACCCCTGTGAAGTCCAGAATGCTTATGCTCAGGTTTTGCTGTTGTTTGATAAATCTGAGTCCTGCAGAAGGAAACTGTGACCAAGATTCTGTTCAATTCTGTTTCTGTCTAGCATCTTGTATGCTGATATTGTGGGATTCACTCGCTTGGCCAGTGACTGCTCACCAGGGGAATTGGTGCACATGCTAAATGAGCTGTTTGGCAAGTTTGATCAGATTGCAAAGGTGAGTTTCTATGGGCTGCTACTGTTAGTTTAAGTAAGTAAGTCATCTTTAAAATATTTTTTTCTTCTCGGGATCTTCAAGCAGTATTTCTGAGACTTTGGCAGGAAGATTGGATTTGAAACATGAAGGAGAAAACTCTGGCTCTGGTCTGAGTGCATCAGTGTATTTCTATCAGTGTGGCAGTCTGTGAAACTCAAGATAGCTCTCTCTAATAGGACCAATAGAGACAGCCTATGGAGACCAGTAAAGCTTAATGGCAGATGAATACTTCTTTCAATAGCTTTTTTACAATAACAAGGATTATGAAACTCAAGATAGAAAAGTGTTAGTTTTCTGATCTCTGGAAAAGCATTTAAGAGACTGGAGGAGGAGAGAGACAATATTGATTGAAGCAATTTTAATCACTGACCTCAGCCTCTTGATTACTCAAGGAAAGAATAAAAAGCAAGTAGAAAATTTTCTTCTGTTTATTTAGGTGCTATTTTTAAAAAATTACATCAAACTTTATGTGTGAAGGTGAAATCAGAAACACCAGAGCATATAAAAATTTCCTGAGTTATTAGTTCAAAAACTATTGTCCAGTATTAGTTTTAAAAACATAAAAACCTTTACATTAAAATACATTGAATTATAGAAATACTATTATGACTGGTAGTTTCTGGAAGTATTCCATAGTACATCTTCAAAGATGTAAATGTGGAAGGCTAGGTCTTTTGATTTCATATTTCAAACAAAAAGGCTTTATTTTGATTGAGAATAGGATAGTTTGGCCCAGTTTTTTAATCTCAGCTCTGTACAACTCTGTGTATATATGTATTGCAGTGTATGTACTTCCCAATTGTGCCCCTTAAGGACCATAACAGGTGGAGGGCTCATCCATTCAAAACCCTAATAGCACTTCTGTTTTAGCAAGCCAAATCCTTCTCTACTGAAACAAGATTAAGTAGAATTTGCTAACATCATTTAAATCAGACTTTGTAACAGTAACCCTACATTTATGTATTTCAAGTTGGAAGTGACCGTCTCACCTTGCTTTTTCCTCTAGGAAAATGAATGTATGAGAATTAAAATCTTAGGTGACTGCTATTACTGTGTTTCTGGACTACCTATATCTCTTCAAAATCATGCCAAGAATTGTGTGAAAATGGGACTGGACATGTGTGAAGCCATTAAGTAAGTGCCAAACTAATTGTTAAATATTCAACAATAAAAATCTCTCTTTTATCTGTATCTGTGCTACTGGTTGAAACATTCAGGCCTGCAGTAGTTGGTGTGTTTCACTGAAAGGTCCAGTGTGGTTATCTTGAACTCAGCCTCAACGAAGAAATGTTTTAAAATGTTGTGTTGTGCAAGGCTATGTCATCACTACACCATAAAGATGATTAATAGCCTGGAACAGTGCTCATATGAGGAAAGGCTGAAAGAACTGGGACTGTTCAACCTGGAGGAGAGAAAGCCAAAGGGAAAAATCTCATCGTTGTATTTAAGTACCTGAAGTGAGAGCACAAAGAAAATGTAGCCAGGCTGTTCAGTGGTGCCCAGTGACAGACCTGGAGGCAATGGGCACAAACTGAAACACAGGAGGTTTCCTCAGAACTTTGGGAAACACATTGAGGTACTATAGAGAATTCTGTGCTTATCAACAGTATTTTGAATTTCTGGGTTACTCTGTATATCTCTTTTTTTTTTTCCCCATAAAAATTGTGCTTGTTCTGTCTTTGAAACAGAAAACAGAGCAAACTATTTGTGAATCATAATATGATTGCATTTGAAATAGCAGTTGTAACTTATTTCAAGTAACTCAAGTAATAACAGGAGACTTGATATGCTTGTGAAAAAGAAATATGGTTGTATCTGATGGATTAACATTTGTAAGACAGCTGAGGATACAGCTTGAAGAATCCTCTCGCTTATTATTGAAGAGTAGGTTGGGAACGGATTATAGACAACTTCAGCAGTTGTGGTGATGATGGCACTTCAAAGTCTTGCAAAAGGGCAGCTTTACCCCCTCTCAGCTCTGCACCTGACTGCTATCAGAACTCTCAATGCAGAGCTGAAATAACTCTTGTAAGCTACCTGCCTTGTCTGAGTTCTACCACCACATTTCAGGGATGTCTGCATATCATGCTGAAGGATCTTAAACCTGACTACACTGAAACTTCAGCTCAGTGTTGTAGTTTATTTGTTAAGTGAGTGTCTTATTCTGTTAGTTTATTCAGAAAACATTTTGTGAGGAAAGAACAATTAAAAAGCCTTCCGTGTCTTTTTTTTTCTTCTTTTTTTTTAACCAGGGTCAGAAAATTATACTTAAAATAATTGTCTGTAATTCATACCTGAAGTTATTTTTAGGTTTTAGGGATTAAACTATTGCAAATGGTTACTTATAGCAGTTATAATTAGTGGCGCAAATATCTTTTCTGTAGAAAAACTAAGTTTTCTTTGACTAAAATTACCGTAAATCTAGCTGAGCTACACTTTGCAAAACCATGTATCATGTGGAGGTCTGGATATTTGGGAGTCAGTACAGAAATCAGGTTGCTGCATTTTCTAAAATGTGGGGGGTTTTTTCCTCCATATGTGGTTGTACCTTACATTGTGTCCAAAAAGCCCATTTTTTAGATGGTACTTGGAGTACTTCTTCTTGACAAGCTTTAAAATGTACAGATTTGGTTGTCTCTTCAGTTTTTTTCACTGGATCCTTTCTCTTTTTCACTTAGACATACTAGACCAATACTATAATTAAAACATTTGCTTCCCTAGCATATTAGGAACTAAAGCTACCGTCCCTTCAGTAGAGCAGCTGGTAAAAGTGTCAGTCCTGAAGTTCTGACCCACTCTATTCATTGGCTTAAAAATGTTGGATTTTTTTCCCCAGCCTAGAATGAAAGCTTTCTGATTTAGATTTCAAAAGACCTGTGTGCTGTGTGAGAAATGTGAGTTAAAAGTATTTGCATAGAGTTTCTGATCAGCCTGTTTCTTTGTTACTTAAGAGAAAAAAGTATAGGAAGCTGGTGGAAAAACAATGCTAAACTCAAGCCATAAAATACCCTTCATGAAGAACTACAAGTATAATATCACACATCATAATGCAGTGTTTTACTTGAGCTCAGAGAGCAATCTGTCAGATTCTCACACTTCAGAACTTCCCAATTTTCTTGGAAATAACTTTCTGCTCAAGCTGCCATCAAGTATGTTCATTGTTAATGCTGTATGATCAGGTTCTCCTTGGTAAGAGCGTCCTTATAGACTAGAAAATTGTATGTTAGTTGTATAGCATATATGATCTCACTTTATTACTGTAGTCGGAAATCACAACGCTCCCATAGATGCCTGATTACCACGACCTGTTTACAGAAGAAGTGAGGAATCTGTATCCTTTGCTTTCAAATGCTTTTGAAGTATTATGTCAAGTGTAACAGCTTGCCACGAAATTGCTGATTATTAATCAACTCCGTATTTTGTTGTATGATTGCTTCATCTTTGTATAGAAGCATCTTCTGACATACTTCTGTGCTCTGTAAAATGAGAAGTAGTAGTACTCTTGCTGTTGGAAGTGTGTAACTCAATATGTTTGACTCAATCTAAAATATCTTTTTTGCCAGATACAAATTTTTTGCTATATTCAGTCACTGAGATGCAAACTGCCCCTTCAGTGTGTAAGCTACTGAAATAGAGGAGTTTGCTGTTTAGATTAACAAATCTGTATAGATTTTACCACCTGAATATGGTTTCAGTTCCAGTTCTCTTTGAAGCAAAAAAGAGGAATTCTGCCAAATTGATGGGTGATCTGTAGTACAAAGTCATATTCATTCTGGTTATCTAATGATGTGTAGCTCCATTTTGAGCAATTCAGCCTCACTATGCTATGGATTGTTTCCATTTAAACGTGGATCATAATCCCATTGATTAATTTCTTTGCTACTCTGCACTATGTTGGAACAAATCCAATGTTTCTTGTAGTCTGCAACCTGCTTGCCCAGGAGTGGGATGCTCAACCTATCGATCCATAGATGCCAGTGCTGCCTGTGATGTTGAGAGCCAGCCACCTTAACTGGGTTCTTTAAGGCTAGAGCTTATCTTTTAAGGCAAAATATGTTTATTTGTGAATATATGGGTTGTTTTCCTTCAGCCCAAACTCCACTCCTTTGTCTCTCTGGTGCCTTCTCAAAGACTGTCTCTGATTTGTTAGCATGAAATGAGTTCCATTTCAGAGGAAAGTAAAAGAAACTGTTGGAGGAGATGGTTATACCATTTTGAATGTTAGATACAAAATAAAATAGGGTTTTTAGGTATGTTTTCACTCCTGTAGGTCTAATCCCAAGGGAAAATATGCTTTTAAAATTAGCACTTTAGAGGGGAATAAATGCTCAAGGCTCACTGAATGTGTTGTAGTGTCTTAGATACCTTAGTCCATAGTTAGAGATGAAATAAAGCTCAGGTTAAGAGAGTAGGTGTTTTCCTAATGATCTGAACTCTTTCTTGTGTGAAGTGAAGTTGCTACAACTATCTGCAAACTAACCATGCCTTTGAAAAACACAGAATCCTTACAAACTCAAATTTCAGGTTACAATAGGAAAAATACAGTCTTGATGAGTATTTTGGCTGCCTAGCCAGGGTGGGCGCACAGACTGTGGTGTGCTGAGGGAAACTAGAGAGACTATGGGAGAGAAAATGAAATAAAAATGGGAAATTTCAGATACGCTTGTGTAGGTAAGTTGAGTGTTTTATGGGGATGTGACAGATACCTTCTCAAATGCATTGTGTCTGTGTCATCATAGCAATTGTTCAAGGAGCACAGGAGAGAAGTAGTAGTAAACCCTAATTTGGTCCAGAGTTACACTGCTAATTTAAAGTCTTTAATTTGTGAGATAGAAGAAAAGATTCAGTAGTGGTACATATTCTACTTGTTCCCCTCCTTAACTCCTGAGAGCTTATTATAAAGCAGATTTTATTCTGCTTGCTCTGCAGAATATGGCAGGGTAGCCTTTCACCAATTTACTCCTAGAGGATAAATGTTCCTCTTCCATTTTGCCCAGTTTTGTAAAACGCTTGTTTTCAGAAGTGCTAAGCTTGTGTCATATTTGTTCTACAGAGCAAAATGGCATTTTTCATTTGCCAACTGCTTACAAAGATCATTTACAGGCAGCTCATTTTCATGTGTGTCATCTACATGAGAGCAGTGTAAGATGGCAAAGTGAAAAGAGATACTAATAAACACTTGATAGAGACTGAAGGAATTAAAATAGTTTCAGTCATGCTCCTGTTACTTTAATTTCCCAGAAAAAGAACACTTGAGAACTAATGCTTAAATGTAGGATTTACCATATCAAATTAAGCCTATTAAGTTCTATGTTCCCATTCATTACAAAAAAAAGAAGATAAATGGGCCAGCTCAATTCTGTAATTCAGAGCTGATGATTCTCATCACTGAGACTGAAGATGTTTCTAGAACTATGAACCTGACTTGTATACAGGAGCTATTTGGGTTCCTTATTCTATAGTTGTTTCTTCCATTAACACCCTGAATTTCTCCAAGATAAATGTATGTGCATGTTCCTAATTACTGGTTAGGTTTGGGTCCATGTGAGTTGGGGTTTTAATACATAAATGCAGTTAAGTTATGATCTTCCCATTTCTTAGAGCTGTATAAGCCTATCAATATCTGAATTAGTTTTATAACTCCTTACGTATGTAGTTAGGTACCCGTATGACATGTCTGAAAATGTTCTAGCTGTTGGACCTTAGTCACCCACTCATGATTCAGAAAAGCTTCTTCTGGAAAGGTAGATGCCTATCTTATGTGTAGGGCTCTTCTGAGATTTGGGCTGGGTGAAGAAATACTTAACTCTGTCGTTGAAAAGGTCAAAAGTTTAGATGTGGTCTGGACAGTGAGGGTGGCCTTTCAATCACCATATAATGTTGTAGTTGGTACAGCACACACTGAGCATGTGGAAGGCTGTTGAGCCTCATGTTCTCCACAGCCTGAATGGCACTGAGCCCATATTCCTGAAGTGTACACAAGCCACAGCCTGTAGAATATCCTGAGGTGCCATGTTTTTCATCCTTCCCTTCAGATATGACAGATAAGAGAAGATCTTCAATGCAAATATTAGGGTCTTCAGGTAGAAGGGCACATAACAGTAGTTCCAGATCTCCAGAAGCTTTCTGCAGTCCTTAGGTTCTACCATGAGACCAAACATTTTCACTACTTAGCTCAGCCCACACAAATAATTTCAGATGAATATAAAAGAAGGAACTTCAGATGTGGACTTGAGAATTAGTATTTCTACAAATTGTTGCAAGTATAGCTAATGGGAAAGGTAATATATAATCCTAGCATAAAAAGAATGGAGGCAATGCTAAAAAGAAGTAAATGTTATTACAGTTGATATTGCTAATTTCGTAGAAGGGTTTTGATTGGAATGGACCTTAAAGATCACCCTGCCACAGGCTGGAACACCTCCCATCCAACCTGGCCTTGAGCACTTCCAGGAGTGTGACTGGTAAACTAAAAGAAAACAAAGGACCTATTATGTATATTAACAGAGTTTTTCTTATCAACTGCAGGAAAGTGAGAGATGCAACTGGAGTTGATATTAATATGCGCGTGGGAGTGCACTCCGGGAATGTGCTGTGCGGCGTTATTGGGCTGCAGAAGTGGCAGTACGATGTGTGGTCACACGATGTTACTCTGGCCAATCACATGGAAGCTGGAGGAGTCCCAGGGTAAGAGGCTTCCCTGTTAACCTCTGGGCACATGGATTTTTCAGCCATGAAGAAAACACATAGGTACCATGTCTTTCATGGAGATGCGTGAACTAATTCTTAGTGCTGTCTTTGGGGAAAAAAAAAGAGGCACTCGGTATTTTCTGTGATTTTAAGGAGTATTTTTTTTGTATATGGAAACCTTTAGATTTATGCATACTAGAATTTCTAAAAATTAGATTAGAAGGACTGTAAATTAAGTGAGCAGCGTATAAGAGGTATATCCAAAAGCTAGTAAAATGGTCGATCAGATTCAAATTATGCTTTCGATCAGTATTTGTGATTCTGTCATTCTTTTAAAATATAATTTCAGCCGTGTTCACATCACGTCAGTCACCTTGGCACATTTGAATGGAGCTTACAAAGTGGAAGATGGGGATGGAGATGTGAGGGACCCATATCTGAAAGAGCATAATGTTAAGACCTACTTTGTAATCAATCCTAAGGTTAGTAGTACTTTTATTTTGTGGCCAGTCATAGTTATTTTTTAGCAGAACCACTAATCTCTTTATCGAATAATTCACTACTATAAGATATTGATCAGAGCTATTACTGATGCCTGCAAATACATAATGTTTGCATTGCAAATGTTTCCCGCTCTTCAGAAATAAGTCTCTGATATTTCCCAGCAATATCATTAAGATTTGCAGGTTCCTAGCAACTCTCCATTTTTAAGTTCTTAAGCACACGGATCTGTGGTACCAGATGATGTACTGCTGCTTCAAAAGGTCACGAACACAAAGGCTGATACCACCTTTTATTTTCTTTCAATCAGGGAGAAAAGCGAAGCCCACAGCACCACATTCGACCTCGACACACTCTTGATGGAGCCAAAATGAGAGCTTCTGTCCGCATGACCCGGTACCTGGAATCTTGGGGAGCAGCCAAGCCATTTGCACACTTGCACCACAGGGACAGCATGACCACTGAAAATGGCAAGATAAGCACAACAGTAGGGGCCTACTTATGTCATTTCATACAATTTAGTAACATTTGAAAGGAAAAAGGTGCTCACTGCTAAATACCTGGTTATTTCTGATAGAAGATACTTATGTTTGTCCAGGGCATAAACCCAGCGAAGTAGTTAGGAGCTTTTCCACTGACATGGGAGCTTTGGATTAGGTCTAAGAAACCATGTCTTCCTATAAGTGCATCTCTGAATTATAAGGAGTCCAACATCCTTACTAAAATACACAATTTGACCCTCTGAGCTCAGACCCTCCTCAGGCATAGCACGGATAGTGGCTGCTATTCGTCTTGTGGAAAGATATTTTGAACATACAGCCAGAATGCAACACCTTCAGGAATGAAAACTTTAAACACAGAGAAATTCCTTGAGATTCATTGACTGTTCAGATACATTCTCCATTTGGAACATGCTAAACCTGGAGCAAAGGCTATGAAGTTAGATAATCCATGTGGTAGCTGGAGTGGACTTTATTCAGAGTACTCCAGGAGCCAAATCCATACTCACTGTTACATCTACCTTCTGAAGGTGCACCTACCATTCATTAGCTATGGTTGATGGCCTGAGTTGTAGAGTACTATAGTGCAACGTTGCATCTCTTACACTGAACAGATTTCTTTAAAATTCTTCTAACCCTGTTTTACTGCTGTTGGTAAGACACTGTGGGTCTACAGCTTGTACATTCATTATCTTCTACTTCTAAAAAGTGAAAGCACAAAGGTAAATTCTAATAGCTTTCAACACTGGAATTCAGTTTTGTTCCTGTTACATATGGGAACATAGAATTGAGCCATGTATTCTTGTTCAATAAATACAGTGCATCATAATGTGGATTGAGGCATGTTCATTACAGAAAGTACCCAGCCATCACTATTAATCACAAAATAAATGTGGCTGTGATGACTGCTGTTGCTTATTGATAAAAAATAATGACCATTGTCTGTGTTTGGTTACTCAGGTCTGGTTTTTTTAAAAACACTTAAGATTCATTTTTGCTGAAGCTGTCTAAAGTTTGGGATACATCCAAAGAGTGATGACATTGAATTCTTTCTGGTAAAGCAAAACATTCTTGGATTCGGACTGTTGTATTAGTTGTTTAGTGTTTATAATGATAGATCAGTTTTTCCCCAGGTCACTTCATCTTTGCACTTGGCTGGATTTTTCTTTTAAACAGTTTTAATCTAATGCTAAAAGTATTTGTATTGGAAACTTTTCCCCTTACTTGACCCTGTTTTCCACACTGTTTTTAAAGCAACTTAGTATTGTCAAAGTCTATTGTAATTAATAAGGTTTTATTGTTTGTTTGTTCTTTAGGATGTTCCCATGGGACAGTATCATTTTCAGAGATGCAGAGAGAGGTAAATTAGTCTTTAAAAATTACTTATTCATCAAAAGTCTATATAAATACATATACATTCATATGCTTTCAAATATTGAGGTCCATTTCTCACGCAAACTATTTTTTCTGCTGATACCTCTTACGTAGAGAAGGGCTATGGAAACAGATGGGCAGACATATTACTTATGAATTGCAAATACACTTCCTGCTAACAAGGAGCATTATTCGGATTTGGTACGTTGGTGAACTACTATTCGTTTCTTCTAATAAACCAGTTACTCTATCAGTGGGAAGAAAATTATATGCAGGAAAATTTGGAGGAGGTACAGAGGTGTAAGAAAAGGGCAGATGGAAAGGGCTGTTAATAATTTTTCTTACAACAGCTAATAATATATACAAAAAGAGACATTTTATGTATTTGTTTAATTGCTTTGTATTTGTATTGTGGTTTATTATTTCAGTCTATTGTATGTTTACAGTAATAGACATTCAAAAATTACTTTGTGATCTTTCTATAGTGCTCATGCTACACAAAATGTTTGTAAGATCTCAATAGCTTTAAGTTTTCATGCTCCTGCTTGGTACTTTGATGACTAGGGCAAGATGATGATATAAATACTGTAAAGTCATTTGGAAGAACCTTTAAAAATTTGTATTTTCGTTGTCCTTGGTTACTGTAGAGCTATGCAATTACCTAAAATATTGCTAAATTCCAGAGGATGAACAACTTTTGACTGAACATTCCTGACATTAATAAAAAGAGTCTAATTTTAAAACCACATATTTACATTTGGACAGTATGTCCAAAGAACTTCTATCAGCCAATGAAAGATCACTGTGGCATTTGGAAATACTGCAGTTCTTGAAGTTTCTGGAGTGTTCTTGCTTTTGTGTTTCTAAACTCCATTCCAAAATAGATTTGAAAGGTACAAATGTGTCTTGATACCATATTATGGAAGGAGTTTCTATAAAATATTACTGGCATCTAATGTCCTTAGTGAGACAGACATGTAACTAGGATTCTAACTAAGCTAGTTAGTCATTCCCACATGAGAGAGCTGAAATGATCATAAGCACTTTGAAAATCAATATTTTATTAGAATATGAAAATGTAGGGTTTGAAGCCTGACTGTAGGCTTCTGTTTGGGGCAATCTTCTGTTTGTGGCAATCTTCTGTTTGTGGCAATCTTCTGTTTGTGGCAATCTTCTGTTTGTGGCAATCTTAGCTCTTATGTAGTTACACAATAGTCTTACGTTGTTAAGAATCTGCCAGGAGGATTAAGTGTAATTAGACAATGTCTCCTTATCTATGTATTTCTTCTAGAATGTTTTATATGTGAAAAATGAGTTATAAGCACTTTCTTACCTAAATTCAATAGCACTGAATAGGCAAGAAATCAGTTGTGTTTTTTAAGATTCCTGTAAGTACACTAATATAATTTCTGTATTTATTTGAATCCTGCAACAGGTTATCAGTTTTGGGGAAATAACCCAAGAACTTGATGTTGAAGAAAATCCATGTTACCTTTTACAGGGTTCAATTTGTAGATTAAGAACATTTTGATAAGCACAGAGTCAAATTTCAGATCTAGCTGTTGACTTCTTACAAAACACTGTTTTTAAGTTAACATTGGATTTAAGTTTTCAAATACAGAGGCATAATCTATTAATATTTTAAATATTTCATTTTTAAGGAGAGCACAGCTACTGAAAGGATTAATGATGTTTGCAGTAATTTATATTAGCAGAGACAAACCCATTCGGATGATCTTCTCTTGGGTTCATATTCGGTCCAGTCAAAAGAAAAGGTGCTTTTTGTATTGCAGATGAGTTACAAGGTTATAAATAGAGAAACATGATGTATGTTTGAAACTAATTTAGGATGGTTCTGAGTTTTCTTATTAAAAATAATAAAGTATTTCCAAGAAAAGAAGAGTTATCAGCCTTTTGGTAGAGGGTACTTTTATGCCTCAGTGCGCTATCACATTGTGCTCATCATAAAATTCTGACAAGGTTTTTAAAAATAACTGCAAGAAACAGGAATGTTTTATGAATTTGAGCATATTCTGATTCTTTTTCATGAATTCATAATGCTGTGGAAAACTTCCCTTCAACTAGAATTTCTTGAGTTCTCTTGGTTTTGGTTTTGTTTCTGAAATATTTTCTAATGTTTGTATTTTAAGGGCTCACTGATACCTAAACTCTAGATTTGTGAGTGAGAGTGTGTGTGTGTGTGTGAGATTGTAGCTTATGCTGGTATTTTTAAGAGCTTATTATGAGTCTTAGTGTACCTGATGCCTATAGCTCCTATTACAGTATAAACTTTTAAAAAATTGTTATTATCCTCACATGTTTATGCTAGCTATTGTTTAATGTTTATTAGCAATGTAATGATTTTCCAAAGTAAATTCCCACATGTTTCATTTCAGAACAAAATCACAGAAAAGAAGGTTTGAGGAGGAACTGAATGAGAGAATGATCCAGGCCATTGATGGAATCAATGCTCAAAAGTAAGTCTTTATCCTCTCTTGTTTCTATTCTTTCCAACTTTGGCATAAATCTGCAAGAGTGTTTACTATTTTTTGTTCCCACATGCACACCAAATCTGAAAACAGTAAAGGCTGTCACTAGTACTGAGATAGGAAGCTCTACACATTGTGAAGATTGGTTGTACAGTAGCATTTTCTACTGTATGAGATAAGACAGTGCCTGTGAATCATGGTGTGACAGAGGTTTTGACTTGTCTTCATGGCAAAGGGGTTTTTGTTCTGTAGCTGTTTGTATCTGTAGACTCGTGGCCGTAACTACAGAGTTGTCTTAACTGAGAGCAGAGGAGTAAGGCCCAAGAAATAACTGGCTCAGGAATCAGAATGATGTGAAAATTGATGCTTCACAATTGTCACAGAAACAATTCCCCAGAATTAGAAACTTTCCCTAAAATCATAGTTTACTATCTCTCTGTTTCAACTAGTTGGTCGATTTCTTAGAGAAGGTTAATCTTGCTGGCATATTGGAATTGCTGGGGGAGGCAACCTGACATGTTTTTTCTGTGCCCTAGGAAGAGCTGGAGGCAGTATTGATCTTTTCCTTTTGCTGGTGAATAGATAAGACTGAGAGAGAAATCAGTACCGGAAAAAATAAGTGTTCAGGCTTTTTATATTTATCTGATGAAATAAGAGAATTGCCCTTCAAAAATGTGGACAATAATTGCGATGAATTACGTTTCCCCCTACTTCTGTTACTCAGAATCTTAATGATCTGAGTATTACACCTAATTATTAAATGCTCATATGTCACATTTGGAGTTTTTTTCATATTTTAATCCTATTAATGGTACTTTGCCTTAGGAAAATATTTTTCAGTCATTTTAGAAAAGAGTTTTGAGAGTTGTAGGTCACAGAAAGAATAGAGTGAAAGAGGGTAGGCCATGTGATTTGATTATACTAGACTTGCCTAAAACAGCTATATAAATTTTGGTAGTTTTAATATGTCTTTAGGTACACTTGCTCTGATAAGTGGATTGTAAAAATGGTGGTTTGTTGTCAAAAGTAATTCATCTATATAAATGCATTATAAAATATTGGTGTGACCATACTGTATGTTGTTTTATCTCAGAGAATCCTTGTCTTATCTAATTAGTGCATAAAATTCAGAGAAACTTTGGGATATAAAATGTTTCTGAAAAATTTGCAGTGCATTTTGTGAATTACATGAGGAATTGCACCAAGATAAGGAATGATCTTATATATCAGAAAGGTTGAATGTCACCTTCCAAAACTAGATTGTCTACCTATCTCTGTATTGATTTGCTGAATCAATCACTTAAAAGCTATGATTCAACTGAATACCTGAGAATAACTTGTCAAAAGTCCTGATTCCTCAAACGGCAAGTTAATTCAATAATACTGTAACTATGTGAAGGCTAAGCACATAGAACAGTTAAATAAAATGTTTCCTACATTTAGAACACAAAACTGATCACATTTTACATATTTTTGTGCCTCTATTTTTTGACTGTAAAATGAAAATAACATTATCAGCTACAGTAATTGAGTGATTGTGAAACAAAATCTTTTGCTTTTCTGAACCAAGAAGCAAACTTTTAAGAAAATCTGTAAGAACTGGTATTTCTAAATGTTTTCAAGTGTAAAGTTTGGATTGCATAGCAGATAGGTCTGCGACTGAATAAAGAAAACTAAAAAAACATTATTGCTCTTAAAATATGGTATTAAAAGTACCATGCTTTTGACCTTTTTAGTTAGAAGAATGCATGAAAATAATTCAAAAGCAAACATTCACTGTATAGAGTCATGTTTCTTCCACCCTGAGCTGTCAGCATGCTCTGACATTTTCATCCACACCATGGTTCTTAGCCACATGTCATTCTGTGAAGAAAGTAACTGGTTGCAAGAAAATGGTCATAAAATGCAGGTCTTTGGAAATTACATGGCCAGGTGCTTTTCAGCCAGTAACTGGAAGATAAGGGAATGTAGAGTCTCTATCTTCTTAGTCCAAGACAATGCTGTAGTCCAAATGAATCACTGTCTTTACTCAGTGTAAAACAGTATGATTTGTATTGAAATGGTATCTCAAGTTTTTAAAGTCACTGTAGCGTTTTCTCTGGGATCCCTCCCTCCCTGCTCTTCTGCCGGTTCACAAGCTGGCTTAGTGATCTTTCTGCAAAACTGCCAAGCGCCACATGCACACACTGTCAGTAGCTCTGGGCATCTGGGTTAAATTCCTTCTTGTGGAATGTAAATGAAACTCTGGAATCTAAAAAGCAGCCCAGGGGCTTTACAGCATGATTCAGAGGAGTCGACTTAGTTGGCAATGTCCCTTGCAAAGTTGCATGAGGAAAGTTACGACCTGTTTATTCAATATTATTCTCTTAGAGCACTGCATTAAAATATACAGAAATACGGATTTAAAAGAGTGAGTGAGAAACAAAGAGCTTCAGTGCCTTAGCCATTAGGGTGTAACATCATGCTTTCTCTATGTGTTTCCTTTTCCTGTACCTTCAGCAAAGTACTCCTGACTGCCAAGGGCCTGTCCTGCACAAGAGGGGGATGAGAAGCCCTAGCTAGGCCATCCTGAGCCTTGGTGGTTAGGAACTTGGATGGGTGGTAATCTCTTGGCTAAATATGCACCTACAGGGGGGGCTAAACTAAAGCTAATTGGTCTTTGGTCACAGTGACTGCTGTGTTCTGTGCGTAATTCCTTGCTGTACACTGTCAACCAGCACAAGGCCTATTAAATCACATACTTCTGTGGATACAGCCTGAGTTCAGCTGTCTGTCTGTGTTGTTCCTGGGATTGCAAAAGAATTTAAGATGAAATTTGGTACCTAGCTTCCCAGAGACATATCCCCAAGTACTTGCAAATACTTTGGTAAGTTTAGGTTCATCAGGGAGTGAGACTGGAGGCAGAATTTTCAGCCCTTGTCTCTATGCCAAAGGTATGTGACTTTGTGCTTTCTCTTCTGTACTTGCTCTCCACTTCCATTTGTATATGTTGTACTATTCCCTTGTCTCAGACCTCTCAGCATGTGCTACCTAAAACCAGTATAGTTGGGTTTTTTTCTGAGCTTTAAAGAAAAACTAAAATCTTCTGAAAACATGAATTTATGATGTGTGGAGTATGAGGCTGACTTCACATGGGATCAAGTGCGTACAAACCAAATTAGGCTTTTGGGAGTAGATCTGCAGACAGAACTTTTTAGCAGTGTGGTGATGGTAATTAAATCAATCCTCCTGTCAGGTACTATAGGAAAAAACCGAGAAATTAGTTAACTCTTTGGAAAAGAGGGTTACTTTAAGTTTGATTTTTATAACTAAATGGAAAAAGAATTGCATTAAATTTTAACAGTTTACTAAAAATGCTCCACAAACTGAATGTTTTCTCCAGTAGGTTACAGCTGAACCAAAACAAAATCATACCATAGGTACACCAGACTACCAGATGCGTTTCTTCTCAGAATCCTAATTGTGATCAGATATAAGTGTGAGCCATTGCAGAGCAAACTGGGAAATATATTTTGGAATTAAACATTCCTAGAACTGAGAATATTTACAGCCCCTTATTATAATGAAACTGATTGCACAGGAACAGGGACAGTCTCCCAGGCAAGGAAACAAATACTTTTGATGTCATAAATCAAAGCTAATAGCTTACACTCCACTCTGTCCACTGCTGTTCTCCCAGGACCTTAATTTTGGATCTATTCCACTGTGGTTCATTACTGCTACTTATTTGCATTGCAGCCTGTCAGCTGAGACTGAAAGTACTACTTGAAGCCTAATTTAAAGTTATTGCTGGAAATGTTGGAAAAAATCTCAGGCCCAACTATTATTCAAGCTCAAATATTGCATGTCCACAGAATTAGTCTGCTTAATTAATTTTTTTTTCAGATCTGTGTAGTGCCCTTGAGGTACAAGCAGCCCAACCTTTTTGAAATTTAAATATTTTATATCTTTTCAAGTGTCCATTAAAGTAAATGTAGACTTTCATATTAGAACATTTCATTTTGTAAAAGCTATGTCAAGCTTTTGTCAAGATTCACTTAGTTTAAAATACATCTTTCATTTCAATGCAACTACTTATACAATTTCTCATCTTTAAGCAGGGAAGAAGTTTATATAATCAGCAAAAAAGTCAATATCTACCTCTATAGTACAGGGCTGTCTGTGGTCAAGAGACTGACACAGTCCAAAGACAAAATCACTCCTCCTCTTTTAGTAATGTTTGTTACATTTTCGTTTGCAATAGGAGTTTGTGAAGTGTAATTTACCTACCACTTTTGCATATTGGAACAGTGTTCTTCCTAAAAGAAACTTGAGAAGGACTGTTTTTATCTCAAGTTCTCTTCTGCCTGCTGGATATACTACTGTATTTTGGACATGAGTGAAATATCAGTTAGAATTACATCATATAAATCTCTCCCTTGATTCTGCTTAAGAGTGATCCACAGAAAAGCAATTGTTCATCTGAGCTTTTGTTTCATGTTAGCAGTAGAAGTCAAAAAGGAGAGGGGATTTGTAGTCTCCACTTTTACTGTCAGTGAAAATTCACCAGATACATTGCAATACATAAGTACTTGCTTTATTCCAACTGATTTTCTTATATTGCTACATTTCATTTATATGAAAGGACTGGACTGCTTTATTCTTATCTCAGTGATAACATTCCCTTTCTCTTCTAGGCAATGGCTTAAATCTGAAGACATTCAAAGAATATCACTTCTTTTCTATAATAAGACTCTGGAAAAAGAAGTAAGTTATTTTCAGTAAGTTCAATTGCAAATTCATAGGTTGATTCCTTCTTTGACCTACCCTAAATGAGGCTTATATCCCTTGCTTTTGTAACACATAGCCATGTCTGCATCACCTCTCCTGCAAGGAGAAGTGCTCAGACCTTAAAATAATGTTTTAGCTGATTTACAGAAGAAATTTTATGAATGTGATGTCTGCAACTACTTTCCTGTTTGTAGGGCTCTGCATTTCACTTGAATTTCTTGAAATTTTTATGGTCTCACAGAAGTGGGAAAAGGTTTGATAGTCCAATTTTGATGTAACTGGAGCAAAGAATTTCTAAATTCCATAATCTACGTTCTCAAAAGGCATTTATTGAACTGCACTGGTTTTGGTTTTGTTTTTTTTTTCCAATGTCTCAAAGACTCCATCTGTAGTAATGATAGAGTTGTAATGATATCAGTTGCTCATTAGTTTTCTCCATATGCACTTGCTGCTCACAGTCAGTCTTGGGAAACAATACTATAAATGTCTTTTTAAGAAAAATGCCTGGCTTTCTTGGATGCAAAACACCAAATGTTCTTCAGACTAATAATGTGGGATAAAACACTTGAGACCTGTATGTACAGGTGGAGTAACAGATAGTTTTTCTTGTCTTTGGAGTAATGATGTTGGAGAATGAAAGATTCCTCCCTTTTAGGTGATTGTCATGACCACTAGCCTATAAAGTCAGGCCTTTTTGTTGTTTTATGACCCTGTGGACCTTGAGTGTATTTCTGCATACTGACACAGCTTCAGCAGGAAGGCTGGAGAGTTACCTCTTTCTGCTTTCTCATAAGCAAAGGGCAGCTGATAGCTGAACAGTTATGCTGTCCTTCAGGGAAGTAAGAGGTAGATTTGACCACAACTAGCTGTATAACTGAGTGAACCCGGCAAGAATGGGCTAGAGAAGCATTACCATACTGTGTTCACACTATACAGCAAGTGTCCTCTGTGTCCATGTGGTAGTCAAATACTTATTTAATTATTGTTTTAGATACCTTTCGGTTCAAAGCACCTGAAATAATTTTCAGATTCTTTCACAGCTCAGCAGAATAGTATTCTTATGGCCAGCTGACAAAGTTGTGTTGTATGTGTTCTATGCCCTTAGCAATGCATTAGGGTGGAAAAGGTTTCAAGGCTTCCCTGAGCCTGTCTCAAAGACTTCATAAGAGAGAAGAAGAGAGAAGCTAGACCTGTTGTGTTCTTATCTGTAGTGTTTATGGGGTACACTGAGTGGATCAAAGCTGTGCCTAGGAGCTCATTAAGATTTTGATGTGTGTGGAACTAACCAAAAAATTCTGAAAGACAACTTGAGAGAAAACCATGACGTGCGCTTTGGACAATGACTTGGGATGAAATTTGGGAGCTAAGTTATTTAGCTGTGTAGATGCTCCCTGTAGAAGTCTAATCTCTTTTAGATTTAGAATGCTATGGAATGGCAGAGAACTAATTGTTCTTTTTGGATCCAGCTTTTCAATATCTTTTCATTATCTTTTAATGACTCACCAATCCAGTCTTGACTTTAAACAACTCAGTAAGAAGTCTGCTTTTGGTTTAAATGGAAGCTTTTCAGACCTTGTAGGACCTGAAAGTACAGCAAGGTAATAAAGCAAACAAAGCTTAACCTAAGGAGTGAGTTGCCTGCCTTCATTAGGAAATGTATGGAGAAGTGTGAAACACTGAAATACTTTTGAAAGTGGATTGCAATTCCATGAGATTTAACAGCAGCTTAAGGTCCAAAATTGTTGAACAGGACCATTATATACATATTTAACAGGTGGAAGAGCACAACTTGCTGCAAATTTATGCATCAAGCAAAGTCGTATTTGTACTTTGAAATTCAGTTAGATGTGTGATCAGAATTGCTTTCTATTCGTTATATAGTTCAAAAGTGAAAAAAGCTGTTGGGTTGCCGAAGTCAATCTCTACATGTTCATGTAAAGTTTGGTGCACTGGTTTGTTTCATGGATAGAACTTGGCAGTAAGGAAAAAGACATAGCTGTGTGCTTGCAGTTAGAAGGCACAGCTCACACACTCCATTTTCTGAAGTTTGCATTTTGAGCACTTTGTGAAAATAATCTTTGGTGTATTTTCTTTTAGTAATTAAATCTTAAACTTTCATCCTTTGAAAAAAAATGTTGATAGTGTAAGTAACTTTATTAGCTACTTAGATCATTTCCATTTGAGTACTTAATTGGTTTCAACCTAGATATATCTATCTCAAATAGCAGAACAGCTCTGCTAAATATTTCATTGCTTAATTCTCATGTCTCTAGACAGAGTAATTAGAGATAAATAGATTTTTCTCATGACAAAACAGATCAAATTGACTGTCTCCTAAGAATATCAAGTGTTTAGTAGTATCGGTAGACATAGGAGGCCTTTTAACAGAGACATAAAAGATTTTAATTGAAGTAATAATATAGGTCCAGTAAATATCAGTATGATTGCTAGCTATGCTCTGTAGCACAGTTTACAATTTGCTACTTTTTGTGCTCAGAAATTTCCTGTTTAAATGAGGGTTATGTTTTTTATAATTGTTTCAACCCATTCAATATTTATCAATAATTGAAAATCAGTTTGAGGAATTAATGACAAAGAGTCTTGGAATCTGTTAAGAATGGTTGACCATTCCTAAAAATATTTTTTAAAAATGTTTCAGTTTTTTTGTTGCCGTTGTTGTTAATTAAACTTTTTATTGGGATAATCTGTTCAGTGAAGGGACAAGTCAAAACTGTTTGACATGGCTGTTCTTCAAGAAGCAAAAGGATTCAATACTGTGCCTGATAATCCCTAGCCCTAGGTTAGTGGATATGAAGTCACTGAAGAACAGGAAATTTACTGTTGCTAAAGACTGCCTATACATATGTGCATCTTTAAGCTGAAGTTTCAGTTGACTTTGGCAATTGTTTTTTTAACATTTGATTTTTTTTTTTTCTTCTAGTACCGAGCAACTACTCTACCTGCATTTAAGTATTATGTGACTTGTGCCTGTCTCATATTCTTCTGCATTTTTGTTGTACAGATTCTGGTTTTGCCAAAGTAAGTGATATTTAACGTGTACTCATTTCTATGTATATTTGCTCATTAGTGTTAAAAAAAATAAGTAAAAAATTTTTTAATTGTCAGATTACAGAGGTCAATTCATGGAAATTAAGTTAAACAGGGAAGACCAAGGATTTCATACCATTTTCAAAGCTAGGCTTATTTCTAATTTTAAATACTGTCAATGATGTTGTGCTAAACATTAATTTAAATTCTTCATTCATTTTAGTTTTTCTCTTTGCATTTAAAAATATGATGATGATGACAGGAATGAAATTCATATGTGTAAAAAAAGTAATACAAGCTATAAGTTTGTGCAACTAAAATTATGTGTAAAATGTGTGATGGACATTGAAGTGGGAGAAAATGGATTACGGAGTTGGAACTGTGATAAATAAATGTATTTAACATATCACTGTGATAATACTGCTCTATTAAGCATTAAAACATATAATTAATATTCATAAAGTGTATATTTTTAATCTTAGAATATTTTAATCAGTTTCTGGGATAATAATTTCATCATAATTTATGTATTATGTGCTGATTTATATTTGTGCATATAAATCAGCTATTTTTCTTTCTGTGCATATTCTAGAAAGGCTGAAAACTGAAAGATAGTTCTAATAAAGAATGTTTTATTAGACTTCTCAAAATGGAATTTTGCTGTTGATTGTTTACTAAGTGGAAAGTTGATATTTGTTTTATAGGAATAATTTCTAAAGACAACTCTGTATATTCCCTGTGATATAGTATTTCTTAACTCATAGTCCTTTCTCCTGTACAGTGCTTTCAGGAGTATTACTTGTAATCACAGTTGGTTGATGGGTCTTATTCTGTAGTATTTAGTCACATTTTAATTCAAAGCCAGAAGGAACTGCTAGGTCATTATAAATTGATTTTCCACACTGCAGACTTATTTTATGACATGTATAAAGTTTTATGGACTTCTGTTCAGATGTTACAGCAGTTTCCCAGCTAGCTTCTAAAACAGAGATACAAGCCACAAAGGGACACTCTTCCAAGGATTCAGCAGTGTCCTACTCATGGTTCAGTCTGACTTTGGGCATTACTATTGAAAAATTTGAAATTAGGGCACATGGCTAATTTTATTTTACAAGCTCATACTGTATTTTGATAAATATGGGAATTAATTCAGGGAAATTCATGATTTGTGGTATCCCAAAAGCCAAAGGTGAATTTCACTACCCCCTTCCAGCAGTATGATTTCTGAATCTGTTTTTAGGTTTTGATTTCTTTCATGAAAATTCATCTACATTTATCATCTATCATACATGTAGTAAGAAGCTCATTTTGCTCTATCCTTATTATGTCATTTAAACCAATAGTGTAGCTCATTAAAATATAACAGAGTATCAGTGAACTCTAGGGAGATGTAAGGAAAGTGTCCTCCAGCTTGTAAAAACACATGCTGATATTACATGATCTCATTGTAACATCAGAGCAAAAGACATGTATACTTTATCATTTTCATTAAAAAGATGTTAAATGTCTTATGGTCCTTTTATAGGACTGCATATTAAATTGTAAAAGCAAAAGTGTAAAATCAAGTATTACCAACATGAATGGTATTCAGCTTCAAGTGGCCTGTGGATTATTTAAATAGATGCAAAAAATGGAAAACAGAAAGTCAAGGTGTTATACAGGCACGTGTGTCTTTGCTGGAGAACTGGGAGCATTGCAAATAAAAAATAAAAAAAGTTGAAAAATCACCAGTCTATGTAGTAATCACAAATTTAGCTCAAATTGAACATACTCCAATGCTGCAGATGTTATTCTCTTCTAACATTCTATCTAGCCTTTTTGTTTTCTTCCAAAATTCTACAGGATTTTTAAATGGTGATCTAATGAAGACAGGGAGATGAACTACATCTGTCATTGGGTTTTATTGATTTACTTTTCCATTAATCTGGTTTTGCAGTAGTGTAATATCATTGATTTCTGTGCAGGCACACCACCTGCTACTTAAAAGTAGATTTGGAGGTATTTGATAGTGAATAACATCCAGCAAGTCGCAAGTACTGAGTAATATCTTCAAGATCACAACCCATTTATTTCAAAGCTGAAATAATTTATTAATGTGTTAATTTTCCCGGGGTCAATAAACTGATGTGGTATTTTAATAATAAACCTTACACAAAGTGGTAACTATAAATTTAATCAAGTAAACAATATCTTGGGGTGAAATGTATAATGAGGAGTAGGTCTTTATTGTGACATTAAAATGAAAGCAAATCTTGTTCATTACATTTCCTTGGAACAGGCCTTCAGTGGCTCTCTACCGTTCTTCATTTATCAAGTGAGAAAGGTATCTTTAATAATTCATGACAACTGTACATTCTTTATTTAAGCAAACAGTCAACTGACATGGAATTGGTGGTGTTGGGTTTTTTGAAATGCAAACTGGTGAGTTGACAAAAGTATGTTTCTATTGAACAGGAGATACTTCTTGTGCTACTCGAGTAAGGGATTTATTAGGGGCTACATTTAAGATTCTTTCTGAGTCTTTGCTCTCTGAGGGTGCTGTGTTCAAGAAACTGTGTCCTTTTGTCCCGAGTCATGCCAAATTACCAGTCTTCTCATTCTATACAGGCAGGTTATTAGAAGACCCTAACATAGTATTTCCAATTAGGCACAGCTGAATTTCTTCATAGAAAAGGTAGTACTTAAAAACTTTGTCTGAAAGCAGGCATGTAAAATATAAGACAATATAAATGAAGGAAACCCGCCATTTTTAGCTATCTTTCTGTTCTATCTAATTTAAAAAACAAAACCAAAACAGAACAAAAATAAAACAAACAAACAAACAAAAACAAAACCACAACTCAAGTGGAGTTATAACGCTCGACTGGTATTTTTTAACACTGAAACTGCCATACAGTCTCCATAGTTATTGAATCCTTTGATGGCTTACTGAAAGCATAAGTCGAATTTTAAAAAAAATAGCTATTTTCAGATACCAAAGGAGTCTGAATTCAATATTGCCTTATATAATTGTCATTTGCAATGTCTTCATTATGATTTTATCACTTCAAGAGAATTTGCAGTTCTGTAGTTCAGAACATGGAAGTTCATTACCTGGCAAGCTAAGGAAATTCTCCACATGCCACTAAGGAACGTGTGCTATAAGTCACATATATTCCTAAAAGTTACAAAATTGTAGAAGGAATTTATTCTTTTCTACATTTTTTGGTATCTTTACCTTCATAAATAAATTTTTATTTTTCAGTTGCCAGTTGAAATGTTGCCAACAAGATATAAGTATGGATAAATACAAATTTTTTCCAATCCCATACCACCTGATAAAAATGAATAGTTCAAAACAGAGATTTGCTGATGAAACAAGAAAAATATGAGCAGTATAGCCAAGATCATAAATTATTTAGAAATGGAACTATCTGAAGCCTGAGAAGTTCCCATGCTGTCTCCTCAATGTTAAACTGTCTCACTGTAGGTTATGATCAAAGGTTGTCCTGTCAGGGTTCCTGGTGGGGCACTCTAGCAGGTTGTTCCTTGAATGGTCAATTCCTCTTCCATTGAAGAGGCAGGTAAAAAGTTATCTGGCTGATGTGATTTCGGGTGTTCTTTTGACTAGTTTGCCTGAATCTGTCAATGCAATGTATTAGGTGACCTGTGCAATGCATTTGGTAACTCTACACAATAAAAATGAGATTAATTTACTGTAAAGATCTGTACTGGTTTTGTAATGTTCCAGTGACAAAAAAATAAATGCATGTTATGTATTTTCTATGGTTATTGCTTCAAATGGGACTTGGTTTTGGTGGCACTTAATTTTTAGTATTTTGCTTCCCTTTGTAGCATTTTCAGCCCACTTCTTTCCTTCTAGGAGAACTATGAAACTGTTTTATCTTAACTGAAACAGAAGTCCTGCTGTTCCCAGAAAAGTATGGGGTGTGGGGAGCAAAAATACTACTTTTTTTTCTCTCTTTTCATCCCTCAAATCTAGATTCTAAGATACCAGTTTTCCTTTTTGTTATCCTCAGTCCTTTTCTCTTTGCCCTATTCACCTTGCTGTGTAATTCTTTTTCTTGTGCCTCCTCAATAACATCATTGATTATGTAAACCAGCTACTAAGACCTTTTGTTCTTGTGTGTTGCCTGGGAGATAAAGTACTTTTTGCATAAGCTCTCTTTATGCCATGTTAATTTTATTTCCCTTGCTCTCCACTTTCTCTCACAAACATCATAATTTCTTCTTCTGAAAGGATGCGCTCCAAACTTGACTGATAAGGCTATTCTTCTGTTGAATTACTTTTTAAGGTGTGCAGGCTCCTTTTTTTTATCCTTCATATCAGAGAAAGAATAGCAGTAGCTTGAAATGTAAAACTGGTTCCTTGAATGTTACTGAAGGACATATGTGATTGGAAGTGTTTATGCATATATAAAAATTAAGCCTGTTAGTTTTCTAACAGGCTTTCTTTCTAATTTCCTAATTGGCTTTTTTTCCCCTCTTCTTTCATCTCTTCTGTTGCTTACTAGATTTTAAATTCCTAAAGAGTGGAGACTAGTTTTACATATTCTGATGTACAGCTTACTGTCTCAGTCTCATTGAGAAATTTTTGGAGAACATGTATTCATAAACAATAATGATTTTCAAATAATTTTTAAAAGAAATATTATTTTAATATTAATATATTTCGTGAATTGTTTGTTTTTCATCAGCTGTGCACATCAACCCAAAATCTGATGATTAATACTTAATATATAAGAAGTTCTCTGAGTGATTGGCAGGGAAGCTCATCAGTTATTCTCCAAAATGCTTTTAATGGCATCAAATTGGTTGATGCTCTTAATGCTTTTTTGTTCTTTCCTGAAAATAGCTTGTATAACACTGTTGTTAAAACAGATCAAAATGTTTTCCAATACTTGTATGTCATCTAAGGAAATTGATCCATATAGTTCTACTCCTAATTGTTAGTACTATAGTTTTGAAAAGGTATACATTTGAGTTCACATGGAATCTCTAAAGAACAGAGATGTATGCTTTTATTAATAATGTATTTTAATTCTGAATCATAAGTTTATGAAGGCACTAACAATATAACAGATGTTATAGTTTTATGGAAATGCAGGAGATATAAAACTTATCTCTAAAATGTCATGCCAATATTTCCAGCATATAAGGTTTCATAAAATAATATATTTGCTGATGCTCAAAGGAATTGAGAGATATTTTTTAATTCTGTAAGAGTATCAAATCTGTGGTTAAAACTGAAGGCAAGTAGTGAGGTGAGGGATTCATGACAGCATCTAGTTCTCTTCCGTAAACAATTCAGTTGATCCACAGCTTCTGGTGTTCTCTTGGAATTCATTAAGCATAATTAAGTTCCACTGCATCTTTCCCTAGGCAGATGTGCTAAGAAGCTCTCGTATAGTGCCTGATGGAGCAATTATGCTCTACTGCGGTATTCATATAGAGACATTTCCATATTTGCAGAATGAATGAATGAATGAATGAATGCACAGTTTGTTACTGTATCTCTGTTTCTGTTTACTGAATATCCAGGGATGCTATCTTGACTAGACCTTCCTATTTATAACACAGGAGAAAAACATGAATTAGAACACTGAGTAAGGATGATTTCAAGAAGAGTACAGATTATTCTGGGGTTTTTTTCCCATTTAAAATATCTTGTTGGTTCTTCTTTCTTTGTGGTGTTTACTTTTCCTTCCTATCATGTCCTCCCATACTTCAGAATCAGACTGGCAAGCCAGTCAAATTTTACCATTCATGAAATACCAGTCACTATCAGGGCCCTTGCTGACTGAGACTCTGCAGCATCACAGATATCACAGGTTCTACCTGAGGGACACTGAAAACCAGGCAACACTATCCCATGCTATTCTCTACTTTTTGGAGGTGAATGTACACTACAAACAAGTTTATTTTGTATATATATGTTAAAATAAATATATATTAAAATAATTAAAAATCATATAAAAATAATATAAAATCAACAACATAAAACTAGAGCAATAAGCATCTTCTTTAATATAGGCTTCTTAAAGTCAAAACAAAACAAAACATTGCTGCTGTTAATGTACCCTATCATTTAAATTATATGTGTAGAAATTATTTTCTCATGGTAATAGCTTTGCAAAGTCAGAGGTAATACCAATTCAAACATTCCTGAATTAAGAAAATGGCAGGAGGAAATGCCTGGCCATTCTGTTAAGGATTAGAATTGTTTTTCCATGGTGTCAATATTTGAAAGTTGCAACTTGCACATAGTAATTTTTCATATCGTTGGCATTATAGACAAAGAAAGGTCATGCTACAACTGTGCAACAGAAAAATTAATACATGTTTTCCTTTTCTTCTAGAACATCTATTCTCGGAATTTCATTTGGGGCTGCATTTCTCTTCCTTTCCTTCATTTTGTTTGTCTGTTTTGCTGGACAGCTTTTGGTAGGTATTCAAGGAAATTTAATCCATTAGTTGATGGTTTCTTTTAAATAACATGTTCTGATTTTGCCAAGTTACTCTGTCTTTGCAGAGTACCAGTTAAAGGAGAAAGGCTGCATGCTGAGGCTTCTGTGGACATTGTTTTGTCCATGTTAATTTTCTGTAAAATGTCCTCATTTATCTGAAAACCAGTAAATGCCAGTGGAGTGGTTGTCTGTATCTACATGGATAATCTCTTTCCGCTATAAAGCTGCATCCTCTGAAAGGTTTTCATTATTATTTGATTGATTACCTTTTCAAAATCTTTTGCTATTTTGATTGCAGGAGGTGACTCATGAGTGCTTTCTTTTGGGAACTGTGTATTTGTTTAAGTGTTATGTAAGACCATTTTCTGAATTTAGAGAATATTTCACCATAACAATTGGTTTGAGATATAAAAATGTTATAGTAAATTTCCAATTTTGCTGTTGAGTACTCCAGGTAATACCTATTAGTGTACGAAATATTATGCTGAATTTGAGAATTTAATTTAATTCAATATTTGGGCAAATGTTTCAGCATTTCGGAATGTAATTTCCAAGTATTACTGTCCTCCTTTCAGTTATTCTCAAATAGATCCACCATGTAACTCCATCTAGAACAAGGAGCTTCAGGATTTGTAAGAAAGTGAACACAATCTGAATTTGTCCTATAATCTGAAATAAAACTATCTGTATACCTGTCACTTAGTCTCCACTTCTCCTTCTCTGCGTTGCCATAAACTATCATAGCAAAAGCTGAAATATCTTTTATAAAAAAGCAAAATATCACATGGGAAAGACTATGCAGTAAAACAGTAAGAAAAAGTAGTTAAAGAAAGAAACAGTGGAAGCAGGGTTTTATAATTTCCCTCTCTTCTCTTGTGAGGCTTATAATCAACCAGGACATATTTTTAAGAAAATATAATTAATGTACATTTCAGTTGTCTTTCCAATAAGTTACAGATGCTGCCACTGCTCAGGAATTAATCTGAAATAGAATGAAACAATATTTTAAATTATCGTTACTCATTGAAGAGAGGTCTTAGAGGTGTTGCTATTACTTAACAGTAAAACTTAGTTCTCATGTAATGTCATACTTGATTGCTATTTGTTATTGACATAAGAGTAAAATGGTGATATCAGTGTACTGCCCTTCAATTAGCAAATTAAAAAAAAACAATCCTTCAAGGAAAAACCAGCCTTTTTCCTGTAGGTAACAGAGGTGCTAATGAAATGGCATCAAGAAGTGCTGGGACATACACTCTCCTGGGGCTTTTATTTATAGTGTTACTTAGGAGGAATACAAACATATTTTTCTGGATTTAAAGGGATGGCTAAGCAAATATCCCAAGTCAGAGTTGAGGAGTTTGCCACTTGAATAATGACTAACACCTACTTACAATGCCTTGTAAATAGTTCCCAGAAATGGAGTCCTATTATTGCAATTCTCTTGACTTGCCAGATGTCACGTTCTAACCTAAATAACTTGAACAGGAGCTACTTTTGTCTACGTCTTTGTGAGTTCATATATTCTAATACAGAAACTATGCTGCTAAGAAGCCTTTCAGCAACTTATGGCTATAGTTGATGCAGCGTTGTCTTTCCTTCATGAGCATGGAAGTTGTTCTGTAAGGTGATGGATGAGAGAGAGTTAACAAAAGAGGCAGTAGGTTTTTCTTTCCCTTGTCTTCTCCCTAAGATTTCTTCCTTCATGTCAAAATCCAAGTATTGTTTTGCAGCTTTAACCACAGTGACAACCTGTGTTATATTTCAGTAGCATACTCATTGCTGTATCTGACCCATAAGTATAAATGTTTTCTTTCTATAAGTCTAAAATTTCAAACCATATAAGTATCAATATCTGAGTTTTCCCACTACAGTGTCAATGTTAACAGAAATCAGGCTTTATCATCCTAATGCTAATGTGGTTTGGGTTTGTTAGGGGATTTTTTTGCCAGTGGGAGATTTTCACACCTCTTTTTCTAAAGAGGTACATTTTGGATTCCCCTATAGAGGGCATGTAGTAAATGTGGATGTGCTTGTATGTACATGCATATGCACATAATTGCAGATTTTAAATTCACCAAATATCTCTCTTCTAAAATGCACCAAAAAAACTGAGAATTTTTTGGGTCTGACTGACTCTGACAGATGACCTGTGGTGGATTAGCCTTGGCTATGGGCCAGACACCCACTCAGCTGCTCACTCACTCTGCCTCACTCAGAAGGATGGGATAGGAAAATAGGATGAGAAAGCTTGTGGCTTGATATAAGGCAGGGAAATCACTGACCAATTACTGTCATAGACAAAGCAGACTCAACTTGGGGAAAATTAATTTAATTTATTACCAATGCAAATAGATTTAGGTAGTAATAAACAAAACCAAATATGAAAGCTGTGCCATTAGTCCCCCCTATTCCAAATTCAGTTTCATTCCCTTGCTCCAGACTCTTCTACCTCTCCTCAGGAAGCACAAGTGGGGGTAGAGAGTGGTTGGTACATAGGCATTTCTGTCTGCTGCTTCTTCTGTTCACAGTTTCATCCTGCTCCATCTTAGGGTCTCCACAGGCTGCAGTTCCTTCAGGAACATCACCTGCTCCATGGGCTGAAGTGTGGCCATCTACTCCAGTATAAGTACTTCTTCCTCCAACCTTGGTGTTCCCTCTGCTGTTTCTCTCTTTTTGTTCCCTCCTCCTCTCTCTGCCCAACACTTCTGGCTCTTTCTTGCACTGCTGTCCTGTGGGGTGCCCGGCCAGGGCGGCCAGTTGCCAGCTGGCCAGTTGCCCTACCACCAACCTGAGCCCCTGCATCTGGTACATAAACTTGCAGTAGTAATCAAATATTTACAGGACTATTAACAAGATTATAGAATGGTACCTGTAGTGCCAGTGAAGACAGCAAAATCTGAGTTCAAGTTAGGACATCTGGCTGTCACTGTGTTATGTGCTTGTCTCAGTACTTTTGACACTGCCCTCTCAGTCTCCACCAATTACAAATGGCTGTCACCACCACAGAGTAAGTCACACAAAACCCAGCACTGAACAAGTTTCTCTAATTTTCATTTCATTGGCAAGAGAAAAAAACCCACCCAGATTGTAATGCTAAAATTACTGGCTCTTACAGAATTTAATGGCAATATTCCAAGAGATTTGTGCTCACTCTTTCACTCTGAGTTTATTCTTAATTGATTCTACTGTTTAGCAGCACTGGTGTGGTCAGCTCAATCTAGTGTGGAGTGATAATGTCAGTCATTAAAGAAGAATAGCAATGTTTCCATCAAAGGATGCAGCACAGTAGTAGCACAAATAAGGAGATGTCCAGAGCCTACCTTTGGAGTGTTTCATTCCCTGCCAGTCTTGGGCCATAGGCATTGAACCTTCCTCAGTCCTAGCTAAAATGGCATATGTCCTGAAACGTGAAAGGAATTTATGTTCTAATTACTTCTTTGTGGCTATGCTTTTTTTTGTTGTTAGTTTTTTAGATAATCACAGTAAAATCTGAAGATTATGAGTCTTTTTGGTAAAGATATTTTATGGTTTATACTTTCACATTTTAAATGTAGTCTCTTCTTTTTTATTAATTTTGAATATTTTCTTTGAATTTTCCTTGAGAGGTTTCCTTCCCAAATTACATGCAGAAACAGGACCATGCAGTGATGATCCTTTAGCTCATATATATTCTGTGTCTCTTCTCTTTATCTTCCTCAAGTACAGACAGATTCATAGAATGAGTGTGAAATGCCTCAGACCTGGTAACTGTTAATGTGTTTTACCTCCTGATGTGAATGCAAGGAAGTAGACATCTGGTTACCTAAATGATACATCAGAAAATGTAATGCAATCAATAGGAAAAAACCACACCAAGCACGTAAAGGAAAGATCTGTGGGGTGGCTGAGGTAGCTGGCCAAAGAACTATTAGCCTCAAGCAGATTTTCCACGTTCATTGATTCAAATACTATCTCAAAAATCTCTTTGCATTACCTAGGACATGGGTGCACTTAATTGATGTGACATACTCTTTGTGCCAATTATTTTCCACTAATATGAAATAGCTTTTTGCTGTATATGTTTATAACTTGCAAGCCTATTTAACTACTTCAGCTAATAGGGAAGATAGAAGTAATACCATCTCATCTGAACATGTTTATAGTCTCTCTTAAATACCCAACTGAACCATGGAATTAGCAGAACACAATACCAACAAAATAAACATCAGAAAATAACTACCTCTACAGTTGAGAAAGATGTTCTGCTTTGAGGTCACCAAAGCATCTGACAGTTTAGCCAGTACATGAGCAGCCCTGTCCCTGCTGTATCGGTGGAGAGGCACGGACAGATCGCTCACAGACCAATTTGATCGGCAAAATGTCAGACTTATTAGAAGGAGAACACACTTTATATACTGCTTATGACACCCAGACGCGTGATTCTTCTTCACACAGCATTGGATACATAAGGAAAACATACTTTGTTGTCCACTGCTAATTGGACCACAACAGGTGTGTCCTTATGAGCTGAGGGCACACGTTCACCCTCTTGAAACTCCATCTTAACTTTGGCAGGGAGCCTTCTTTGTTCTAACTTCAAAGGCTGAAGCCATATTAGTTACACAGTTCTTTTACTGTCTGCACCCAGCCATGCCAAGGCAAGGCTCACAGAAATGCAGAGGAAATTGTTCATGCACAATCTCTATTCTCCCAACACTGCTGGAGAGAGCACTTTGTTTACGCCACACCACTGTACAAAGAGTGAAACACAATCTTTACCTTTTCTTTGTATTTTACTGTAAAGCAATTGGTGTTGGTATTTAACAGTCAGAAAAACAGTATACGCTTAAGGTATTTAAAAACTCTGCAAGGAAAGGAATATCAGCACCAACACTACTTGAAAATTATTTTTGACACGGAATTTTATCTCTGATGTGAGTGTTTCTTAACACCAATACAGATGAAAGATCTAGGCCCTTTATTTTCTTCAATATA